AATGGGTTTGAGACAAGAATATTCCATCTGATGTTCTAGCTATCTTCATTCCTAGAATCAAGTCTGCTTCACCTATATCTTTCATGTCAAAGTCTGCTTCATTCCATAGATCAACCGGTACCAATTACTTTATGGGGTTCTTACACAAATACCTTATATTTTGGCGTAGTTTTTGAAAAAAACATATACTAGGATTCTATTATAAATATTTAAAATTCAGAGTAAAGTATACGCTCAAACCTACGAACATTCATTCTTCCACAAATATCAGCTATCAATCTCGAAAAATCAAAAGGAAAATTGAAAGGAAAAATAGGAAATCTTCCACAAATCAAGCAAAAACGAGATCGAGGTTGCTTCAACATTTATTCTTCAAAGTTATATTCCACAAATCTGAAAATACACTAACAAAATTATAGATTTTTTAATTTTTTTGACTTTTTGTTTAATTACTTCCCCAATTTTGTTATTTTAAGATCTTTTAAGGTTGTCTTTGTATAGATTATGAAAGCAACAACTGTGATTATCAATTTTCAGCTGAATAATTTATTACTTACAAATTCTAACCATCATAGTGCATTATATATCTCACTTTATTTGAATTTTGTGATTAGATTTAGTCTAAAACTTATAATGTAAATAATTGAAATTTATGTAGCTTCTCTTTGATGATTTTGCTATTGTGATTGGGAACATATTTGAAAATAACATAGTTGAACATGAGAAGAAATGGATTGTGTCATCACATATGAAAAATTAGTTTTGAATCAATTAAAATGAATCATATAAGATGTTTGACAAAAGAAAAATGTGAAAAAAAAAAAGACATTCTTTAACATTTCTTAAAAAAAAAAAAGTCACACTTTCTCATTGGAACAATTAACTAGATGCATATGTGTGCATTTTTGAAAATTTTGAATCAATTGAATTGATGTATGCAAAGTGTTTGCTCAAGGAGAATGTGAAAAAGTGACATTCGGTCACTTTCCTAAAAAATGTCAAACTATTTCATTGGAGAAATTAACTCAATGCATATGTGTGCGTTTTTTGAAAATTTGAATATACAAATTCAAACCTTATTTTATGCTAATACATATGGAAAAGAAAATTTTGAATAAATTTGATTGATGTATGCAATGTGTTTGTTCAAGGAGAATATAAAAAAATGACAGTCATTTTTCTATGAAAAGGTGATATTTTGTCACTTTTTTTAAAAAAGGTCACAATATCTCATTGGAGCAATTAACTAGATGTATATGTTTACATTTTTTTTTTTTTTTTGAAAATTTGAACATACGGATTCAAGCCTTGTTTTATGTTAATACATATGAAAAGGAAAGTTTTGAATCAATTAGATTGATGCATGCAAAATGTTTGCTCAAGGAAAATGTGAAAAATGACATTTTGTCACTTTTTCATATTTTATGATAATACATATGAAAAAGAAAACTTTGAATCAATTCGATCGATGCATGCAGTGTGTTTGTTCAAGGAGAATGTGAAAAATTACAGTCATTTTTCTTTGAAAAAAATGATATTTTGTCACTTTTTTAAAAAAAGGTCACAATATCTCATTGGATCAATTAACTAGATGTATATGTGCACATTTTTTTTTTTGAAAATTTGAACATATGGATTCAAGCCTTATTTTATGATAATACATATGAAAATGAAAGTTTTGAACCAATTAGATTGATGCATGCAAAATGTTTGCACAAGGAAAATGTGAAAAATGACATTTTGTCACTTTTCTATGAAAACGTGACTGTCGTTTTTCTAAAAAAAAATCACAGTATCTCATTGGAGCAATTAACTAGATGCATATATGTGTATTTTTAAAAATTTGAACATACGACTTTAATTCTTGTTTTATGTTAATACATATGAAAAAAACGAATCAATTATATTGATGCATGCAAGGTGTTTGCTTGATAAGAATGTAAATTTTGTCACTTTTCAATGAAAATGTGATATTCTGTCACTTTTCTAAAAAAAAAATTCACAGTATGTTATTGGAGCAATTAACTAAATATATACGTGTGCATTTTTGAAAATTTAAACATACGAATTCAAATCACATTTTATATTAATACACATTAAAAATAAAATTTTGAATTAATAAAATTGATGCATGCAAAGTGTTTGAGAAAATGATAATATTTTCTCAAAAAAAGTCATAGTCTCTCATTGGAGCAATTAACTAGGTACATACATGTGCCTTTTTTGAAATTTAGACTATTTATGACTATATTTATCTTATATTAACTAAACGTAAAACATAATTTCATTTTAGAAACACAATAATCTATAAGTTGAAAGTGACAATTTTTTTTTTTAAAAAAAAAACGATAAATTTAAATTAAAAAGTAACACAACATGTCACTTTTCATTCACGCTGTTGACTAACAATTTTTTTTTTTCGAAGCATTCAATGTAATGTATCTTTTTTATTGAAAAACCTTAAACATTGAAAAAATAACAAGTTAAATATAATTGCTAGAATTTAATTTAACAAACCAATGTCAATTACATCTTGAATCAATATTATTAAAATTTTATTTACGTCAACTTGGATTATTTCGATCATATAATCAAATATAAAAATATGATGATATTTTGAGACTCAGATGTTACACGGTGAGTCATATAAATATTTTATTAAAACAATGTGAAAAAAAAATAGGGGCAGTCCCTATTGATGATGAATTTATTTTTTTATTAATATAATTGATAAATCCACATTAATCAAGGTAATAATAATTAAGGAAATAATTACGCATGTGCAGGTGCTGAACAATAAGGAAATAATGCTCCACTTTATCGTATTAAATACGTGAAGATGAAAAGTTAAAGATGTCAAGTGTATTAATAAATTTTTTTAGCATGGGAACCGTACTTGGCCTAATTTTCCCTTACTTTATTTTCTTCATGTGAAACTGTGAAAGGGTATGGAGATTGGAGAACATATTCTTATATCTGTATCACTTTATCAGTTAGTGTACTTTATTTTTTGTATCCTTACGCGATGAATCTCCTCTCTTTTCAACGTTATGAAAACTGAGTTGCAGAAGTCAAGCAGATAATTGTCATCCACTCATTTCACTTCCCAAAATAAACCATGACTTACTGTCAAAATTGCAATAGAGGTCCCAACCTACTAAATTTACACAAATGCATCCTCAACCACTATTTCCCCCTCGCTATATCCCTACAAAAGAGCATACTATAGTTTTCTTTCGCGTAAAAGTTTAAACGAGTGAATGAAATTTGTAGTGCTCTTATTTGGAACCCATTTCATTTTTCAGGTTTAGACTAATCTCATGTAAACTTTGATTTTCAGTTCATCGTTTACTAACCCTTCAATATTATACCAATCCTCATCCCGTAAATAACGAAATATTATCGAAACTCTAATTCCCATAGACCGAAAAAATAATACATTTTTTCCAAATTCTTAAATTAGGGTTTTGTTCCCTCTATAATTTCATGCTCTTGAAAAATCTTTATCAAATTTAGCCAATCATTAATTTCATTATAAAGTAATAATCTTACGTTTTCAAAGTTGCGATTAGTCCATATTGCATAGTCAAACACTTAACACATACCTAATTTTGTTTGTATTTATTAAGGTTTAAATAATTATAAACCAACGTAGAGTTCGAATTACTTTTTTTTTTAATAATATTAACCTTTTAAAATTAACTTAATTCTTAATAATACTTTATTATGTATCTTTTATTATTTATTAATTGTTTGACGATTTTTCTTGATAGCGATTCCTACAATTCTGTAACTTCTTCTTTTGTTCATGTAAGAATGTGTTTGATTAACATGGAAAATATTTATATTCTAGAAATATTTTCCTTATTTTAAAGAAAACAAAAATTTACTCCCCTAAAAAAAATGTTTTCGTTAAAAATAAAGAAAGTTATGCATGTTTGCAAAAGTTGTAATATATTTTTCATGGAAAAAATCAAAAAAATAGCAATCAAACACTTCAAAGTAGAAATTTGGGTGGAAAACTGACATTTTCGATATAAACTAAATGTAATGAAACACACCTTAATTGTTTTTCTTTTTCAATAAAAGGGTTCATTTATTGAATTTAATGTGTTTTGTAGTGGGGAAAGTGATGAATAATTTAAAAGTTCTGCGTAATATTGAAAATTGAATGGAAAATATGATC